AAAATTATATTTTATTTATTATATAATTTTAAAATAAAATATTATTATTATAAATAAAAAATCTGTATATAAAATAAGGTATAATTGATGGTTTTGCTTTCTGCAAATCAATTGTTCAAATGGATAAAACATTTTTATATAGCAAATACAATGGGATGCTATTGGTGGCAGTTGAGCAAGACGAGCGCAACATAATTCTCATTGCGTTTGCTGTTGTTGAAGGTGAGACAAGCAACGTATAATTTTTTTTTTCAAAAATTTAAGGCGGTATATAACATTGCAAGACAAGTTGTGCCTCATTTCGAATCGTAACGAGGCTATTAGAAGTGCATACTCCAGAAATAGAAGTGGTTGGACAGAAAACAATTTTGTCCATGTCTATTGCATTAGACATATTGTACAAAACTTCATGCGACAATTCAAAAATGCAGCACTAAAGAAAGATGTCGTTAACATGGATAATTTTATTTTTTCCTGTACTCTATATTATCATTAATATTCTTAAAACTTTCTTACTTAGTTTTCATAATTTAATTTAATAATTTTTCTTGGAGCATATAGAATGATTGAACCTATATTATTTTATTATTACAATATAATAATAGAAAATAATGCTGAAGCAGCACAATGATTGGACTGCAACCCAAGGGAAAAATGGACGCTGGCATGTGATAGTGGACGACGCTGGGGACACATGACAACAAACCTAACAAAGTCTATTAATTTATTCTTGAAGAAAATAAGAAACCTGTCAATTTGTTCCATGGTAATAACAACATACACTCGTTGTAACAAGTTCTTCGTCGAGAGAGGCAAGTAGGTGGATGCAATGATTAATGTTAGACATGTCTACTCGGAGATTGCAACTAAAACCATTCAAGATGCACAATCAAAGGCAAACATTCATAGAGTCATCACCTTTGACAAATCAAGCACTAGATTTTTAGTGGAAGAAACACAACATCCGAGAGAAGTTTGACCCGCTGGGAGATTTACAGTAAGGCTAGATGAAATGTGATGTAATTGTAGCAAGTTCTAGAAAGTTCATATCCCTTGCTTACATGTATTTGTTTCATGCTTACATGTACTTGTTTCATGCTTACATGCATGCCACGACTTCGAAAGCAGCATATCTCCCATATATACCTTACAACAAGTTTCAAAGGTATAAGAAAGACAAATTGGAGAGTTCCGACACAAAGATTATTGACCTACTTACATTGACTCAACTTTGTGGCCAAATCCGGAACTCAAAAGAACTTTCAAGGATTGGCCCAAGTCTACCAGGATTAGAATAGAGATGGATATTAGAAAATAACATAATTGTGTAAAAAATTGTTCCTATTATCACACCCCTGATCACACTAGGAAGACATGTCTAAATATTGGTTATGCATTTAGTTCCCGCCACCATTATTTTTTTGTTGTTGTTGTTGTAATGAGTTTTAAGTTTGATAAATGTCATTGTTTAATTTTAATATTAACAAATATATTTAATATTAACTAACTTATTAAATTTTATCAATTC